TGTCTCTATTTTCGCCTTTAGGTACAGTCACAACAATTACATTCTTAGAATTCCCAGTCTGACTATTCTTCTTAGAATTATTGTTGTTGTTGTTGTTGTTGTTGTTGTTCCAAAACCTTTCTAGGAGAAGATTTGGATGTAGTTTCCCACAAGTGTCATCGGTATGTTTTGGTTTCTTGTAGTATTCACATATCACCTCTTTCTTATCAATCGGCCCCTTTGGATTTATCCCAACATGTACAAAATGCCCTGGAGGTGGTTCCTATAAATGTACTTTCCGCCTACTCTCTTCACTACTCACCATAGAATATGCCCGGGCAAGGGTTACTTCATCTCTAGCTAGAATATTCGACCTTATAATATCAAACTCAGGGTGGGGTCCCATAAGAAACTCAAACACCCTATTTCTTTCTACTAGTTTCTTGAATGTCTCTGCATCCTTCGTGCWCTCCCATACAATCGTCTCTTTTACATCAATCTCCTGCCATAGTGATTTTAATATAGAGTAGCATAACAACTACACTCTTTTCCCCTGTCTTAAATCGTTAACATCATTCTTTAGCTTATAGGCTCTTACAACATTCAATTTCTAAGAATATGTTTTTGTAATACTGTCCAAAATCTCCTTAGCATAAGTCATTCAAAAATAATGTTGACTTATATGAGGCTAYATAGAGTTGACTAACCATCCAATCGTTGTGCAATTCTCCTGTATTTGTTTTTCATATGTAGGATCAGTCTCTATCAGTTTTTTCTTACTACTTGTAAGAATACTCCAGATTACCTCTACTCCAAACATAAATCCTTATGGGTTGTGCCCAACGTAAGTAATTTGTTTCATATAGCTTAGTTGTTGTCACTCCAGCAAGAATGGAATCTACCAAACACCTAGCTCTGTTTCATCTCACTTTCAGATTGCTCCATTGACCAAACAAAAATCCAAAAACAAGTTTTTTTGCTTTTATGAACTTAAATGGGGTTAGTCCAATACCTATAGGTCCCAAAATTAGGGTTTCACTATACCTAACTAAATGAAAGAAAAGGGAGAAGAGTAATCGCTCCTAACAGAGCTTCCCAAACTCTTTCCAACTTCAACCACCCACTTTTAGAGACCAAAAGATACCCTCAAGCTCTAAGCGCCACACTCAAACTATTTCTTTAACCTGTAATTGTGAACTTTCTAGTTGGCTAGGGTTTTGGGCAAAAAATTAGTAGCCTCACTTTCTTTGCAATCTACAATCAACAATTCATCTCTCCATACACTCTTCTAATTGAAGGGTGTATAGGAAATAAAGGAAAAAAAAAAGAAAATAAAGGAAGAGGTGCTTCGGTACCAAGATGTGATTCAATTCAATAAACTTGCAAATAATCTCATTTTTCAGCGAAGAAAAGAGRAGATAGAAGAGGAACAACAAGAAAATAAAAGATGGAGAAGGAGAAAGAAGTTCCATGTCTCCTCTCCTTTCTCTCTAAACTTTTATAAATCCTACTTAATTWGAGATAGTTACAATTCTGCCCTTAAGTGGGTGGCCAGCTCATAATGATACTTAAAAGAAACAAAAAAGGATTAGTATGCTCATAAGAATTAGACCCATTATCAGCCAAGCACAAGTAAGAAACAATAATAACAAAATATAAATCACTTGAGCCCATTCAGCCCAGTCTCTCTACAGAGAAAATCTCTTAATAGTTAAAAGGAGCGATTACCAAAAGGTCATTGGRCTACAAAGACCAGCTCCAAAAAGCCCAATGCATCTACTCGGCTATTGGGCTTTCAGAAGATCTTCTTGAAAAGACTTTCCAAACAACACCTAAACAGAAAAACACTAGAAACAATCAAAAAGGCCCATCTAGCCTTGGGGGGCGGGGGAGTAGACCACCAAACAAAAGAGGACCCCTGTAGCCATTTTACTTTTTGAGCAATAATATGGGGTGGTTTAGTAACAGTTATAGCTTATATACAAAATTCAGTCACAAAGGATTGCAAACTAATTCTATCTATATAGTTTGCATAAGACTAATGCACAAGATCCTCTTTTCTCTTCACCACAACCAACACATCATGCGCATTTGAGACCAACACAATTTCTTTCCATCTTTGTTGAACTTCAAAACCTAGAGCCGCCTCCACAGCACTAAATTCAGCTTCCACAACATCCTGCAAAATACTAGATTTGTCCCTTTCAGGGGGTGTTCTACAACATGAATGTTTTTGTTTTCATTTGTTTTTGAAATCACCATATGAGCAAAAAACAAATTGATTTTGTTTCGAAAAACAATACATGCCTTTCAAACCAACAATATTGACTTTTAAGACAAAAATAAATTTTCTAATATATAAATTATATGATTTATGAAACATGATGTTGAATAATCAAATGAAAATATGTTTTTAAAAACAGATTCAAGAACATGTTTTTTGTTTCAGTTTTGAAAACAAAAAATACACACACAACCAAGAACATCTTTCTTATGTTTTTGTTTTAAGAAACAATCTGTTTCCAAACAAGATGGTTTTGATTTGTTTTTGGAATCAGCAATAAGAAAAACGATTCATATTGTAAAATGCCCCTTCGTTATAACCATTTTTTTCCTTATAAAAGCAACAAATAGCAAAAACACATTGCTTACACTTGAATAGACAACCATCACAGACAATATAAGTACCCTCAAAGTTATCTATGCTTGCACTTCGATTACACGAAAAACCTAAGGAAGAGAAAAGGCTCATATTATCCAAGCAAATATTATTCAAAACACAATTGGATTTGTGCAAAATCTAGTCCACACTTCCATCTACGTTTGAGAAGATTTATCATTTGTAGTCATCCATAGGAAATACCATACTACCGCTAACCGAAATAACATCCATACTCAAATCTTGGAAATTTATTGTTTCAAACAACTCAGAAGCTCAAACATGTCACCGCAATCATTCTCATCTAACACGAGGGCCCAATGACCAACCACGGTTCATTTAGAAAATTTTAGGGAAAATGACATTAAAATTTTTAATCAATCACGGTAAAAATGCCACATAATTTATTTACTTTTCATTAATTCACATTTTATAGTGTGCTTTCATGTTTCACAAGGTATTTTTGTACTTATCATTGAATATTTTAATAACATTAAAGATATCGTTATGACATATAGCTTTATCACTATTTTTTTTTTTATGATTTAGTTATGTTGCAACAATTTCCACATAATGCACATTAGATTTTGTCTTGATACATTGGCAAGATTAATCAATAGTACCAATCTACCATGGTGTTTCAAGATGGGGAGAGAAGAATGCGATGCCATAAAACAGGGAAATGTTGCCTTGAGATTGATAATAATGGTTTCCACAAAAAAAAAAGAAAAAAAAAAGACTAACAATAATGGTGAGCCAATCCAGTCAATGTCAAATAGATTGTAAGGCATCCTTTCTATTGAGGAGATGTGGATTCAAATTTCCAATAACCAGATTCTTCATGTCATGTCAGTAGGCCTTATGTACTGCCTTTCACTAATTTCACTAAAGGCTAATTAGGTCTAGTTCACAACACCTCATCTTTAAGGGTTAAAGCCACTTCAAATGACCTAATCTATAAAAGAGTGAATGCCCCTTCTTTCTAGAATTTTCATTGGACGTTTTTACCCTTTTGTCTAAGAATACAACGGATATAATGAGGGCATATATGTCTTTTACTCTCACTTTAGAAACTGTTCACTTGTAACCGTTCAAAAACTGCCAGGGTGTTGGAACCATAAATTATAACTTTTCAGAAACTGCCCACTTAATACATTAATTAATTTTGAAATAAATGAGATATAAAAAGTGACCATAAATATAAATAGTTGTCCTAGAGATACTGCCATGTGCAAATGCACATACACGTTTACTAGTCCTAATAGGTTAGGGTTGAGTCAACTTTGATCAAGTTTCAAATCAGGTTTAGGTTGAGTTTTTTGTCATTTACTAAAACACCCTTTATGGTTTCACAGGTTTAATAAAACCTACCCTATAGTTTACGTCTTACAAAAGTACCCCTTATAGTTTGCAACCAATTTACTTAACAGATCTTCTGTTAAGAATCCTTTGTCTTTCTATCCAGAAATGGTAAGGTGATCATATAAATAAACTGGAAAATGCTTAAGGGCATGAGTTCATACTTTTTTATTCTAAAAGTACCCCTAAAACTTCATATCAAACTTCTAGAAAGAAACAAGGTTTGATTTTCAGATCTATCAAAAAATGTTTGGCTTCAACAGAATGAAAAAGAGATAACAATGGCATTCAAGGTTCTTTGTCAACATTGGCATGTCTTCCTTCTTCAAACAAACAACAAACTTTACCAAATATAGTTGTTGTCCCATGTTTTACTCGGGACAAGAATGACATTTCAATTTTTTGTTTTCCAAGGGATGTTAAAGTCAAAACTGTTATTTTCCACTTCCATAATTTCATCTAATGGAAGGTTGATTAAGTAAATTGGTTGCAAAATATAGGGGTGTTATAGTAAATGACCCTTTTTATGAGGAGGTTTAGCATACTACAATCCTGCCCATTGAAATATACATATATATATATATATATATATATATATATAAAGCGTAAACCGTTCTGGTTGAAACCAACTCGGACCTAATGATATAATTTATGCATCTTAAAAGATCCATAGCATGATTATACTACTAACCATACTTAGGACTGTCAATGAGACATTGAGACCTGAACATCCGCAGCCCAATCCGACATTTGATCCATTGGCTCAGCAAGATGGAGCTAATGCACTAAGTGACCAAACCAATTTGAATTTTAGCGGAAACCATTGGCTGATTGGCTCAATTGGATCCATGTCATTTTTACGTTGCAGGTTAATCCCGACTCTCGAGGAACCGTTCGACCTAAAATTGGGATCCCCATTTTTCATAAAAAGTATCTTTAGCTCTCTGTAATAGTAAACCTCCTCCCCATGATCACGTTCTTTTGAGAGAGAGAGAGACTAAAAGAAGAAAAAGATGTTATCGAGACATCAAAGATCTCATTTAATTAATTAAAGAGTACAAAACCATCCCGATGAGTTAAACTCAAGAACTCCCCAAAATTCTAATTTCCACATCCTAAAAAATCTCCCCTAATTCATTATAAAAATAAATAAATGGTCCAATTGCCTATAAGTTCCTAAGTTTCAATACAAGAGAGAAAAAAATATATCTAAAGATAAATAACCTCAGTACCCTTTCTAAAACCTGGAAGCAGTAAACTCTTACACGATTTGGATACACTTGTGGTTGTGGCAAACACTCCATTTACGCATTAGAGTTGGTCAACTCCTTGGACAGGGTAGATGATAAGATTATATTCTGAGGCTGCAAAAATAAGATTATATTGAAAAATATTAGTCACATCCTCTTATAAAAATAAAATGTTCTTTGCTTTGTGAGAGCAAATAAATGCATCACTGACAAATAGATAGCATTTCTCTAAAACAGTACCAGAAGAGGAAAGCAAAGATACCGCCAAGGAAGTCAATTATCAGCTCACAGTGGAATATCCTACCATTTACCATCAAATAGGCAGGCATTTGTTTTGAGTGCAAAGTGGAACAGGTCTAACATTTGCATCTGGTTCATTTTTTACTTTGTTACATATGCACATTTACACCTCTAGAACTAGGGATGCAACTTTGGCAGGACCAACTCAACCAAAAATTTTACACGGGCTGGGATTGGGCCCAAAACCTCAGGCTTTATTTTTGGGGATGGGCCAGACCTAGCCCTTGGGTAGTGTAAGCCCAGACCAAGCCCAAACCAATCCCAGCCTGACCTTGACCCAAGTCACCCAACATGAATCTAGCCCAACCATATACACAGACACACACACAGCATTTCAAAAAAGACCATACATGCATACATACACAAACATATTCGTATATGCATTCAATGCCTTGGGCCCAATAGGCCCATCTAACCAACCCTGGGCCCAGCTGGGGCATAAACCCAAACCTGCCTGAATCTATCAAGTTTTAGTTTGGGCTGGGTCTTGGTTGGGCAGATTGGGCTTGGGTTGATCTTAAACTCGGTCCAACCCGCCCAAGTTGCACCCCTAACTGGGGCAGCATCATTTACATCGTTATGGTTGCAAGTGAGCCAAAATATACATTACCTTCCACCAACCTATATTCTATCTCATATAGGGTATAGACCACATCATTTTACTCCTCACTGAACAAAACCGAGTGAAATCTAAACAAAAATGTGCTCTCCCCTCATTTGTGCTTCCATTCATTTTAATCATATAGGTCTGTTGGACTATTGCACATAGCCATCATTTTCAGTATTTAATGTGACTTCTGAGAGTCCGGATTTGCTGACCACAACACATTGCTGGCCACGTTCATCCGGCCATGCATTGGCAATATCGGTGATATAAAGTACAAGAAATGTTCCCAATGTGCAGCTGGGTGAACATGGCCAGCAAGGTGTCATGGTCAGTAGATCTGAACTCAACTAAGTGCTCAATTCAAAGTTTGTCCCCATTCTTTGGTTGGCCAAACAAAAGGGGAAGGATAATGTGGAGATGCGTGAGGGCTGCTGTTTGCCGGACTCTTTGGGAGGAAAGGAACACCAGAATTTTCTCTGAAGTTGAAAAAAGTAAAGAATGCCTTATTGAAGTGGTAACAATGAGGGTGGTACATTGGCGGAAATCCTTAGACCTGTTTGTTGATATTTCTACGGATATGTTGCTGAATAGCTGGCTGTAGGTGGCTAATTCTGCTCCTGCTCGCTCTTTAGTTTGTCCTGTGTGGTCACCACCAGGAAGTGGACTTGTAAAGCTAAACTTTGATGGAAGTAGTGAGGGAAATCTAGGTTCATCAGGTGTAGGAGGGGTTTTCAGAGATGAGGATGGGAAGGTGCTCGCTTTGTATTCAGGTTCCATTGGGTCTGGAGACTCTCTCAAAGCTAAGGTCTATGCAGTACCAGAGGGTATAAGGAAGTCTAAGGAACTGAATATACAAAACCTGGTCATTGAAGGGGACTCGAAGCTGGTCTTAAGTTGGTTACAAGAAGATAATGGACTTTGGAAATATGTTCATGAGAGGAAGGAGATTAAGTGGCTAACTAGAGGACTGGAAATCAAGCTTCAGTGGGTCAAGAGAACGGCAGATGCATTTTCTGATGCTTTGGCAAAGCAGGGGGTGGGAAGGGATCAAATGTTTTGGGCTGTTCTGTAACTTTTTCTTTTTTGTTGTTGAGTAGGCTGATTTATGTTGGGCCGATTTATGTTTAGTTTGTTTTCTTTTAAATTAAGAAGTTGTTGGGCCTTGGGCCCATTAGTCTTTTATTTTTAAAGGAATTGTAAGTACTTAGTTGAGTTGCCGCCMTACTAGGGGCATCTTTGTAATATCCCATATTTAAGTTAATTATAAATAGAATGAGAGGCTGGCGACTAGGGTTATGATCACTATCCTAGTCGACCTTCTCCTTTTCTTCCCTTTCCTCTATCTATTGCTGAAATCCCCAACTTTCTCCTCTTCCTTTCACAAGAAGCTTGGCCGAAATCAGCACATAAGGCTTTCTACTGTTATCTTCCTGGAGAGAATTACGCATGTTTATCTCTCTTTGGGGCACTATAACTAAATTCTTTTAATCTAATGAATTCCAGTTATTGATAAAAAAAACTAACTGCTCAATTTATGAAATGAACTGGATAATCCAGCTTGATGGATATATCACCTATGGTTGGTAAAAGAGATAAGAAACAAGAGTGACTATAGGAATCTCCAATCTATATTTCCTTTTTGGCAACCTTGCTAAGGTCATTTGGGATCTGGTGCTTGGCTCCAACTACTGATTTTTGAAGGAATTATTTATTTTAATTTAGAAAAAATAATTATTAAGATAATGCCATACCGCAGACAATTCCTCTTCATGCTTTGGTATGAATGCAGTGTCAACTTTGCCATTTCTAAAGTCCTGCAATACAAATGTAACACAAACAACTCAGATGTAAACACAGCATTTCAGGCCCATCAAATAATACATGCACAGATGAAAAGCATTTTCAAACCTCAATATCAAGGATTAGTTTATGATAGTCAATGGTTGTAGGAACCCCTGCATGAGGAATTAAAATCACATCAAATTGTGGACAAATTGAAGAACAAACAAAGAAGGAGCAAGTTTGGCAGTGTTCAGATATTGAAGAAAAAACAATTGCAAGAAAACACTGGTACATAAAGCTCTTAATATCAATATAGATATAGATATATACGGGAACGGGTATGCTAGTTGGACCATCTAGTGGAGTAAATAACACAGAATTCTTCTACATGGCAACTTATTTTGGAGCTCAAAAACAGAAATTAGAGTGGGTTTTCCAGTCAGGTTGTTCAGTTCATGATTCAAAGTATCAATAAACCTGTGTATCAACATAGTTGTATCGGTACTTTAATCAATACGATACGGTTATCGGGTCCCAAAGACAAATACTATACGCCCTGTACCGGTCGTATCATGTTGATACTTTGAACCCTGGTTCAGTGAGATTTCTTGAATGACCCAATAATCTTCCACGTGGCAAATTAGTCACTCTGTTGGGCAAAAGCCAACATATACAATTTATTTTATGTGATTAGGTAGAGAGAGTGTGTTTCCATAAAAAAAAAAAGAAATATAACAAACATACTTCAAGCAACTTTGAGTTGCAACCCAAGAGTATATACTGCCCATAAGTTCTTGACAAATGTGTCTTCCAAACTAAATTTTACCTCAAAAAGCCTTGTATTTCTTTCTGACCATGTAGTCCACACCACTTCCAAAGAAATTAATCACATACAATCCCCCCCCTCCTACCAAGTCCCTTCACCTGCCAACTCCACAAGAAGTCTTCCAATTTTTCTGGGACACATCTATGTAATGTACTTGGAAGATACCCAACATATGTGCCCACACCCCTCTTGCAAAATTACAATGCAAAAATAAATTCGCACACTTGTGCCCACAAAGTGTTAACCACCACCATGCCTCTCTTATATAGACTGTTGACAGTCAAACACATTCCTAACATTGCTGTCCGCGCTAAGGACTGCTACGTGCAAAATTCTATCAGCAGGAAAATTGATTACCCCAGAACAGGTTAGCTTGTTATAGAGGGATTTAACTATGAACTTGCCAGATTTTTCCCATAACCTTCAATGGCATGTAATAGAAGTATATATATTCATCTCCTAAACCTTTTATTCATGACATAGAATTTGACCCAAAAAACCACATCACATGTATGAAATAAACATTTTCTTGTGAATAGATTTTAGTTCAAAAATTAAGTTTATTGGTTGGGTATATCTCCAACACGAGGTTGGTTATGTGGCTGTAATAGGCTGTCATGAATGTGTTCAATCCAGTAGATTGCCTATCTGATGGGTGGTTTTGACCAGCCACGTGAATACTCCACATGGCAGAAATAGGTGTGGAATCTTAATAAACATTTTTCTTATATACAAAACAATTGAATAGGAATGCATTAATGTAATCATAGTGATGCAAGTACAAATCCTTGGAGATAAAAAATGATACCAAGGGCACCCTGATTCAACAAGGTGCTCCCCTATAAAATCTACACGAAAACCTATGGAGTATGAACTGAATAGAATACATATTTATGTCGAATTGCCAATCTATGTTGGAATATATCTGTCCATGTAAATGTTATGTTATACTGTAAAAATTGCATTTTGATGGATAAGGATACTAATTTGCTAAATGTAACCTCCAGACATACTCAACAAAAGAAGGGACAGATTTACTTCCACAAGTAGGGATTGTATTACTAACCTGTGATTACAGTATCATCAAGGGCCCTTTTCATGCGCTCAATTGCTCTCTCTCTTGTTGGAGCCCAAACAATAAGCTAAAATTCAATGCAAAAACACAAGTAACACAATGAAGACCAAAATTCAGTTGGGGCAAATAGTTCAATCCAATAAAGATGCAGTAGTATTCATCTTATTGAAAAAAGGGAAATCTTAGAGCTTCAACACCTTACAGTACTAGGAATTGGAAGTTTATAATTATATAGGCAGTTCATGCATGTAGACATTCCCAACCATGAACAAGGACATGAATGATCATGCATATGAACAAATGCAAGTACAGGTCATGTTGATGAAAATAGTGGGTCCATGCACAAATGCATGCACAAGCAGACATCCACCCACACAGTAAGACCATGGTGTGCACATATGTATACAATTTGCAAGCATGATAAGATAGTATTTCCCATTACTGAACCATCTACAGACAACCAAGTTCAATAAAAATGCAGTTCTATTCAACTCATCTAAAGAAAAAGAAGAAAGAATTCTTATAGCAACAAAAGAAAAATCTTAGAGCTGCAACCTTAAAACAGCATATGTGATGTTTTATAGGTCATTCATACAGATAAACACTCCCACATATGCAAAGGTACATGAATTATGTGCATATGTGCATATATATAAATGTAAATTATGTAAATGAATTTAATAAGCAAACTTGTACATAAGTGCAACCACAGCATAAGTTTATAGACAAGTGCATGTACACAAGAACCCACCTATCCACACAGTTAAACCATGTATTTAAATTGCATACATATGTAGAAGTGAAAAACTTGTATACCTTTCCGAGAAGGGAATCATAGCTTGGGGGGACCACATAATCAGGATAAACATGGCTATCCATTCTCACAAAAGGACCTCCAGGTGGCAAATATGATGTTATTCTTCCTGTGGTCACAACAAATAAGTGTTTGTTTTATGGGTAACAAGATAGATTATTAAGAACAAGGAAAAAGACAACTAGCAAAGCCAAAGTCATCAAGCCAAAACAGGTTTCCCAATGTTGGCCCCATCTACCTGGGGTCTTGGGAGGGGTGGACTGGATATGGACCTAACTTTTGGCATCTTTTTGGCACAAAGTGGCTGCTTTCAGATTCAAACATGCATTGTCACACTTGTTAGCCTGGGTACCATTACACCAAGCAATGGCCCCTTTAATCTACCCGGTAAGAGACCAAGACCTCTAGGGGAAGCAAGCATGCTAGCAAGAAGATACAGCTATTCAAAGTAGGAAGACTATGAAGACTATGAAGTAATTCAAAGCAACAAACCAAAAAAAAAATATTAGTATTACTATTCTCATTGTAGGGTCACCCAATATAACTAAGTCCTTTCCCAGCCATATTGTCAACTAAAGAGGTGGCTAATAGACAAATAGTGGGGCCCATCTGAATGAGGTGATGGAGTAACCAAGGTCAAATATTCATTTACAAATTATCATGAGAAAGTTTATAGCATAACTAATGAACTATTGCAACCTTTTTTCTTTTTTGATAAATGAACTATTGCAACTTTTTTTTTTTGATAAATGAACTATTGCAACCTTTGTTGTAATTATTAATTAAAATATTAACTTAAGTAAAATATTTGGTTAAACCATTTACAGTAATAGTTGTAATTATAAATTATTTTAACTGCTTTTTATCTATTAGTAGTACTTCTACATGCATGGGAAATATTAAATTGATTTACTTTATTGAAATTTCTAAATGCTAGTAAAAATAAGAAAATATATTTGACAGAGATCATAGCAACACTGGTTATTGGTACCAGGCTTCCAGTTTAAAGCAGCTACAACTTGGTGATAACACAACGTCATTTGTATCACTTATAATTCCTGTTGTCAAATCATACATTTGTGTTTTCAATTATGGCTTTTCACCTTTCTGTTCATCATTCTTGCTGTGTAACCCACTGTGAAGGAAAGAGCAAGTGTATAGCATTATCATAGATTGTGTAACATAGAATACTTTTGGGTAAATTACATATGGACAAGGTTCAAAATATCGATACACCCGATACGCCGGTAGGGGCATATCGGGCAATATCGATACTGTTTTTCTTTACTTTTTTTATTTTTTTCAAAACCGGTTCAGGGGGGGCGGTTTAGGGCTCACCCACCCCCGAACCGATCAGAACCCCGATACACCCACTGTAGGGGCATATCGGGGAGGTCCCGGAACGATACGCATCGGCCAATACAGGCCGATACGTGTCGATGCTTTGAACCTTGCATACAGATAAAGTAAATTACATACAGATAGGGGCCCTGTACTTTGCGGGTAGCGACAGATAGGTACCCTGAACTTTCAATTGCAGCATGTGAGTACCCTGAACTCTCAAACATAGACACTTGGGTCCATCCATTAGTATTCCATCAGTTAAACATTACATAATGCCAAAACTACCCTTTTGTCAGTTAAACTTATACGGTCTGATTAATACCGTATACGATATTAGTCATTGTGGGGAGAAGTAGCTAGTCCCTTGACTAACTTAATAACCTATACGGTATTAGTCAGACCATATAAGTTTAACTGACAGAAGGGTGACAATAAGTAATGTTTAACTGACGGAATACTAACGGGTGGACCCAAGTGTCTATTTTTGAGAGTTTCAGGGTACTCAAGTGTTGCAATTGAAAGTTCAGGGTACCCATCTGTCACTACCCCCAAAGTACAAGGTACCTATCTGTAATTTACCCAATAGTTTTCTACTTTTCTTGCATATATTTGTAATTTAATTTGTCCAAATAAATATGTAATTGTACATATCGAATCATAATACAATTATGTTTCATGGGACTGGCCAACAATTAACCAAACCCCCAAACATAATAATCATCCCGTTGTTTTTCTTCTTTTTTTTTTTTTTTGCGTGCTTAGCATACAATCAACCCCAAAGTAATATAGACCAGAGCCAAGTTCTATAAAAAGTTATTGGAATATGCACAGGGTCAGAAAATTGATGGTTAAGGACTCACATGACTGGTTGTATATGGTTGTCTGCTGACTCTGCTCAGACCGCACAGAAGTAAGCATACTAAACTGTCTGGGGAATTTAGTTGAAATATTAGGAATTGTGTGGGGACTTTTACCTCATGTTTTAGGATTGCATTGATCAGTCCAATGGCACTATGTTTTAGAAATTCATACAGGACAGATTTCTGTATCCACCATTGATCTTTCCTATCGATGATCAGTTTGCATTGAAACTTCAGGAAATTAGGCAGAAAGACTTTACCTGAGCTTTGATTTCAGATTTTTACCTCTGTTGCAATTGGTGTAGTTTTTTTTTTCCTGCCACTATTTGGAAAGTGTTGAGATATGTTTTCCTCTGGTTGTACATCTCATTTGAGATGGCTTTAAATAAAGGTAAAAAGGTATTCTATGTCAGACAATCTATGATAATATCTTATACTACACTTGCTTTTTCCTTCACATCCACCACATAGAAGTGCATTAATTACTCAACATCTTTTCATCTTTTTGTATTTCGATTTGTATCCTCACCTTATTTTTATTGATAACAAGAACTATATTAGGAAAAAAACAAGAAAACAGAGGATACACAAATCAGGGAATGGTGCATTGGCTGCATAGACTTCAAAGCATATGACATAGAGGTCAGCAGTATGCGGGTTCATCCTACACAGGAAGAGAAATTGTCCAGACATTTGGGTACCCCTCCAACAGAATACCATTTAACCTAATTTCTACATTGCTGCCTTGGAAATCCATAAAAGGTCTGGTAAATGGATGGGTCTATAGGGACTATAATGGAGAGATATTGTTAATATTTACAGGCCCAATTGATACCAGTAATACAGTGTCACTCCAATAAGGATTAATGCTAGCTACTTCTTAGACATTGAGTGTTTGGAAAGAAACAATGTCTCATAAACTTTGATTTGGTTGATGAGGGAAGATGTATCTAGTCATTGCTATAACCATTTTTCCTTGCACCTATGCTACAGCTCTTTGAACATAATATATTAGAAGGTCAATCATATGGCAATTAAACAATCTTCTTTCATACAGAAATATAGTTCTGATAAGTAGGGTATTTTTTTTTTATCAATTTCTGATAAGTAGGGTATTAGGGTTGTGAAATAAAGAATCTATGTTGGATTGGACAGCAAGGAGAAAAATGGAAAGTGGAACTAAAATACATGTCACAAGCACAATGCATGACAAAAAAACACAGATACCACCCCCCCTCAAAAAAAAAAAGTTCTCTATTCACAGTTTACACAAGCATTCACATACTAGGATTGCAATAAGGGATCAATTGAAGCCGAAACCAACCTGAAGTATATCATATTAAACACTAGAAACTACCCAAATCCAAGTAAGGTTCCCTTAGCACAGGCATGGGTTGAGTCACAAATTTGTCACATGATATAGATTTGTGTGAAAATTGTACAACTCAGGAGTCAGGAGGGTTCATATGGATTGCCAGTTTGCCACAGAATACAAGTCTTCAATCCACCATGTTAGATCACTTTTGTCTTTTCTCATATGAAATATGTCATATGCGCATGATTTACTAAGCTAGACAAGTTGCCCAGTAAAGAGATCTAGGTGATCTGGAACTCTTCCAGGGCGACAGCAGAAAAAGGACCCAAGTGTTCATCAGATCATGGCTTACTCATATAGAAAATTTCTAGCACAGCCTCCTCCCTCCCATATGGTGAAAGAAAAGCTACTTTTATGGACATATTAAACAACTTCAGAATTCAGCTAATGAGTTACACAGTTTGGGTATAGCATTCACATGGACCATAGTTGTCAAGGCAACAGGGCGCCCGTGGAGGCTCGCCTGGCCCAGTTGCCAAGCTGTTTGGTATACTTCGTTATAAAATACTTTTATATAATTAACTTTTTGAGATTATAATTATAAAATAGACATTATTTAACTAAAATATTCATTTTTTGTGTTTATAAACTAATTTCTTTTTATTATTTTCTTATTTGTTAGGGTTTAATAAACACAAACATTGCTAACTTATGTATTGAACCCTCAAAGACTTCAAAACCTGAACCTATTTTGGCATAAAACATCTGGATATGCCATGTCAACCTCCAGGCAACAGAAATTCTAGAAGTTGTACACAGACAACCCACCATAGTCAGGTTGAGGTCAGCCCAGTAAGCCTGACCAGATTGACATTGAACTATGGTTTTATAACCCAATGTATGCCCCCACCCCCTTAAGAAAAATGAAAAAGGAAAAGAGAAAAGAAAGAAATGAAGGAATTCCTGTAACACTTCAATGCATACCAGGTCCAGGTCGGAATCCTTTGAAGGCATCTTCAGCATTAATGCGGCATTCAATTGAATGCCCTCTAAGTACAATATCTTCCTGTAGATTAAATCATGAAAATATTCTTAATTTCCCACATTTTAGGCTCAAAAGGAAAGACATGGAATATCTCTTTCATCTTACCTGTTTGTATCGCAGCTTCTCTCCCCTTGCAACACGAATTTGTTCCTCAATCAAATCAACAGAAGAGATCATTTCAGTAACAGGATGCTCCACCTGAGGTTTTACCAAAATAAAAGGAACAACAAAATAGAAAATGTTATTATCACTGGCTGAACCTTTTACAAGCCACACTTACGTGTTCCAGAGCTTTTACTTTTTTTTTTCTTTTGTGGAAGGGGGATCAGATGGTATGGAGAGAGATTGCTCCAGCTTCTGCACTTTACCTGAATCCGAGTGTTCATTTCCATAAAGTAGAATGAACCCCTTTCATCCAGAAGGAATTCAATAGTGCCTACACCAATATAACCTATAGAAGCTGCTGCTGCAACTGCTGCATCACCCATAGCTTTCCGCAACTCTGGTGTTAATGCAGGGGAAGGGGCTTCTTCTAGCAGCTTTTGATTCCTTCGCTGTAAAAGAAGGCACAGTAAAAAATTACTTTATACTCCAGTAACCGATGCCTTTCATGTAAACTTTTCATAATTGTCAGTAACTTTCATATTATATTCCTTTATTTAGAAACTTTCATTCAAGTACTATATGTTGATAGTTGAGTGCAATTGCATTACATGGTAGTGTGAATGCATTGCATAAAACTCTTTTTTTAGGAAGAAAAAATAATATATTTCATTAAAAAGGTATGGAGAGCATGTACAAGTATAAGCCCGTGTACAGTGACGATACATTAGAGAGGGCCCAAAAGCTAACTATGAAGGCATTGCATATTTCAAGAAAACATCTCTAAAGATGAACTTATATTTTGTTACATAAAAAAACATAACTAGAATAGCCAAGATTGCAACAATTCACTGAACCCATCTGTTCAGTCTCCAAGTTGAACTATTCTGAATTAACTAAACTCATCATCTCAACATACAATCAGTTTAGTTGACCCAGCTCAGCCCCAAGCCTTGTAATAAGTGATATAGGATATCCTATACATCAGATAGCTGAGGGCTAAAACTTACAACACCAATTAAAGACTTTTACAGCCCAAGGTAAATTTCACGCTTGCAAGATTGTTCTTAAGCATTTAAAGCTTCAAGATCACCATCATCATCATCCAAGCCTTCTCCCAACTATATGGGGTCAGCTACATGTTCCTGTCTCACCATTCTGTTCCGTTTAATGACATATCCATTGTTAAATTATTAGCACTTAAATCATTTCTTACTACAACCCATGTCCTTTTTGGTCTACCCCTAACCCTTCTAGCTCCTTCAACTTGCAACAGATCACTTCAACTTATGGGTGCTGTCAAAGGTCTTCTATGCATGTGACCTAACCATCTTAATCTACGTTCTCTCATTTTATCACCTATTAGATATTTAGATCTACTCCTGTGTTCCTTCAAATGACCAGTTAAAGCTTCAAGATGGGCAATCAGATATTTGGGTGGGAAATCAGATCTCAAGGATATTTTCCCTTCTCTTTACTCCATTTCCCTGTATAAAAAAGAGCCTATTGCTAGATGTCTCTCCTCTCCCATCACCCCTTTGTTTCCAAACTGGGACTTTGGGTTCCATAGGGATTTAAGGGATGATAAATTGGTATGATTTTTTTTTATGAGTGAAAATAATTTATTAATCCAGAAATAATAAGGCAGTACAGGAAACCCAAAAAGAGGCACGAGCTGTTACCTCTTCTAATAAAGTATTACATCAAATTAAAACAGAAATAGCCTGAAGCAAAATTACAGAACAGCCCAAAATAAATGTTCCCTTGAAGCCCCCTGCTTAGCTAACCCATCCGCTAAGGTATTTGCTGATCTTCCCACCCAAAGAGTGGTAACAGTCATGTTTCTTTTGAGTCAGTTGACTTTCCTCAATAAATCTGTATCGCCACATAGCTGAAGCTGGGTCTGTCAACCATCCCACAACATTCTTAGAGTCTCCTTCAACTACCAATCACTGAACTCCTAGTTGTTCTGCAATCTGAATACCTTGTACCGCCGCTAAAATCTCAGCTCTATTAGAGTCTCCTATTCCCACGGGGCCTGAAAACAAGGCTAAGATGTTGCTCTCCGTATCTCTCAGCACCCCTCCTATCCCCAATGGGCCAGGGTTTCCTTGGGTTCTGCCATCAAAGTTCAGCTTTACCCATCCTTCAGGCGGAGGGATCCACACTGACACTGCAGATTCCCTGTCCTTCCTTGTATGGCTGTTAGCCACCTCTATCCAGTCGGTACGCATTGCAGATCTCCTTCTTTCTCTTGATAATTTTTGCTTGAACCCACTTAAACCTGACAGAAGAATTTGGTCTCCTTCTCCAAAAGGTTACTTTTCTGTTGCTTCCTCCTTTAAATCCCTTTGCTCCTCCTCTGCTCCTTTGGTTTTACCAGCAAAGGAAGTTTTGAATAGGCCTATTAATGTTTATGCATTTTGCTAGGAAGTATTTCATGGGAAAAGTAATACTTTTGATAAATTGCAAAAGAAAAGGCCTTACTTGTGCTTATCCCCATTTTGGTGTGTTCATTGCAAGTCTAATTGTGAGGATTGTTACCACTTACTTTTATCCTACCCTTTAGGTGTGGCAATATGAAATTGGATTTTTGCTCTTTTTGAGTGCAGGTGGAATCTATCAACAGAAGTAACTCTGTTGTTTCAGTTCCCAGCCTTCACTTGGCCTACAAAAAGAGGGAGGGTGATGTGGAAGTGTACTAGAGTAGCTTGACTTTGGACAATTTGGGAGGAAAGAAATGCCAAAACTTTTCAAGAAAAGGAAAGAAGCCTTTCAGAAGTCAAGAATTGCATAATGACGGGTAATACATTGGCTGAGAACGACTACTATGTTCCAATCTTTTTCCTTTGATGATTTTTGGAGAGGTAGGTCAGCAGTAGCTAAAAGCTCTTCTTGTAAGGAGTATTGTTGCAGATTGGGTTTATCCTCTTGAAGGTTTCATCGAATTAAACTCTGATGGAAGTAGCCAAGGTAACCTTGGCCCTTTTAGTATAAGAGGGATGGAGAGATAAGGACAGTAATATTTTATCCTTATTCTCAGGACCAGACTCAACTAGAACAAAATTACTAGCTGCCTTTACAAGGGATTCAGCATGCAAATCAACTTGGTGTGGCAACTTTATTAATTGAAGGAGATTCTAAGGTAATTGTGGGGCGGTTGATGGATCCAGAATCRGTTGTTTGGTGCTCCAGGAATCTCCTTGAGAGAGTGTTTTGGTTATCAAGGAACATGACAGTGAGAGTCCAGTGGGTACGAAGGTCGGCAAATAAGTTGGCTGATTCTCTAGCTAAACAAGGGATTAACAGGGAACACCTGTTTTGGGCTGCTTTGTAATTTTTTTGTTATATTACCTTTTCTTTGTTGATTGGAGGTAATCTCTTTCAAGAGTGAGGCTACTACACCTAGCACCTCTCTATGGGATGCTTGTAATTGATCTATCTTGTTGATTAATGAATTGATATTTCAATTCTCAAAAAAAAATAAATAAATAAACAAAGATTCACATTGTAGGTTCATGTGCTTTAATGTTTTAGGCCATAATTTTCCCAGATCACATGATGCCTAATTGAACAAGCTTCCTAATCCGAACCAATGTTCAGATATCTTATATATAGACAGTTGGGCAAGTGTAAGACTCTTCAACCTGGGTTGGTTTAACACTCAATTACTCAACCCATTAATTAATCATAGTCTGTTTCATGTCCCACATCATCAAGTCTATTGGGTCTAACACAACAAAGCATTGAGATTTCAGAAACGGGGCAAGCGGCTGGTAACCAAGTACCTGAATACTGCAGTCACGCTCTCCAAAGTGAACAACATTATTAAACATATCCGCAAGAACCTGAAAATGATGCAGACTCAAAAGGTGAATCAAAAGTACATAATTCTAATGGATTTTCTTAATGACTCTTCAAGTAGTAAACTTCCCAACAAAGGAAACAAATTATAAATTGAAACTTCAAAATACTATATTGTTTAAGATAATTTAAAATGGAGGATAAATAGCTACCATACCATAACCAATGTCTATCAATACCATAATAGATATGGTGCACTTGCAGAACATAGGACTTACACCTAACAGGTTCACTTATGATGGTCAAAATTACGGAAGCCTTAATATGTCATGTTGAAAAAAAAAAATGCAACAAGTCAGATAATTAAGATCATCTAATTTGATCAGCGGTTAACATCAGCTGTTTGGGAGAAGCTACAACTATAAAAATAAAATAAAAACTCACTAACTGAATCCAATGAAATTTTGGTCATAGGCTTTCACATTTGCACCATGTGCAACCATCTAATTGACAGCCAGTGATTTTGAAATGACAAATCAAAAATTAGATTTCCTTGTACATAACTTACAGTTAACAGAAAAAATATGAGTAATTTAATGGAATTATGGAAAGATAGTGGAGGTTATGCTTATATACTATTAGATTAGGAAAGTAAGGTCATCAAGTTCTAGGAAGAACTCTTGTTCATGTGTGCTACTGATTTGACAGCTGACTAGTTTTAACTTTTAAGAGCTACTGCTTGGTGCAGTGGTAAAATCTCAGGGTAACAAGCATGAAATGCAGGTTCAATACGAAAGCAGCCACTTCATGCAAGAAAATGTCAAAGATTAAATCCATCCAGTCCACCCCTCCCAAGACTCCAGAATGTTGGGACCAACATTGGTAATGGTCATTTTAGGCTTTGTAGAGTTATCTCTTCAATGGACCATTGTTGCCATGATGGTTCTTGCACTTTTATGTTCTTTGATTAGTTGCCCCAGGTTATATTCTTTTTAATTTCTAAAGCATTGCAGTTAGCATTGGAAATAAAACTTAGATAAAGTTACCTGGAATTCAATGTGCCTTGGATTTTGGATGTACTTTTCCAAATACACTCCATCATTTCCAAATGCAGCAGCAGCCTCACTCTTTGCTTGCTGTTGAAACAAAGATGCTAAATTAATGTTACTGAATGAGAACACAAGATTCAGCTGTATATCATTATTTATAATAGCATTAATAGAAAAGGCAATATCTTGGTAAATGACATTCCGGCCATAAAATTTTTCCTAGGGAATAGAATAAAACCAGTCATCTATGTCAGGAGTGTATGGGGAATAAAGGATAAAAAATTGGTTATAAAATCTACAATTAATAGACATCATTTCAGAAATAGAGCACATAAACTTAAAAAGGGTTCAGATATGCAATTCAAAGGCTACACATATTTCAGAATTCAGAGTAAGGTGGCATTTGGTAGCACTAAGCATGCTGCTGAACACTGGCCATTTTGCTTTTGGGTGCTTAATGGTGTCTTTGGTCAAGGTGCCAAATGCACCTTCCAGTTGAAGAAATGTGCACCAAAAATCTCAAAAACTGTTCAAGTTCCTAACACACTCTCATGTCATTTAATGAAATTTTCTGACAAAAGTACCCCCCGTCTCCACTTCTCTTGCAGTTTACAGCAGCGATTTTCACCAAGGTATACTCTATCTTCTTTCCTTGTTTGTCTTTTTTTCTTTTATTTTTTGGCTTTTTGTTTGTATACCAATCTAATCAATCTCCAATTTTTTGTTTTTAGGGCAACCTCAGGCAGATGCTTTGCCAGATTTGGTTTCTTCTCTGGTGATCACTGATCAGACTTCAGAGGAGTTTCAGGTGCACACCTCACTCCTATGAAGTTGATTTCCTTTTTCTCAAATGCTTGGATTACCTTTGATGTGTGCTTCCTTTTAATGTCATATCTGCCCAAGTGGTGTAGCAAATGCATTTATTTGTGCTTGTGATTGTTCTTTGGTAGCTATTCTGCAGCTTCATCCTAAAAGTGAAAGCCTTTTTTGGCAATTATCTAACTTGTATTACTTGCATATTTTTCATGTCATTTTTAATTAATTTATTAATCTCAGCTGTTTTAACATTAAGTTCTTGACTTTATATATTATTATTAATTTTGTATTGGCTGCTTTTTTATTTTAGAATTAGTTGATTGATTTATTGTTTTTATAATTATTCATCATTTTTATTGTTTCAAATAATGATTAATAATCTTTAAATATCTTTGTTGTCACTTAACGTGTAATATTTCTTTGATGTTGTATTTTTATGTTTTTATATAATTTTAATTTATTTATTTGTTATTATTGAATACTTAAATTTATTATTGATTTTACATTTTTATTATTTTACATAAAAAAATATTTCATTTTACATATGTTTTGTAAATATTTATTATTAATTTTTAATTAACTTGTTATTGTTAATAATGGTTAATTTATAAATTATGTAAATATTAATACTTTTGTGAAAAAGAAAATCATATAATATTTAGTGCTAACAGTTTCAGGAAAAAAACAGGTTCATCCACGGGTGAAATTGTAAAATAGCCATTTCTCAGAGGTTACAAAATTCAAATTATGAAACAGCTTCACTACATTCAGAAATCCAGAAAAGCAGAAAAGCAAATTTTCACAGTTCAACTTACCAAAAAAATGCAGTCAGTGCTCAGAACTTTTTTGCTTTCTAGAGATCAGAGATCAGATTTACCAAACACCACCTAACCATAATTAAAAGTGCAATTTTGCACTGACCAGTAATGAACTGCCATTGAATGGCAAATATTGTTTGGAAACAAAAGAGGGTAAATGTAACACAGCAAATGTCTTACCAAAAAAAAATAACACTTAGCAAATAAATGGCCCATTACAAGAACAGATAACTGCATACTCTTCCATGTTTCCTTAAAATTATTTTTTTATTCACATTTTTTATTGGTATTTGGTAATAGTAAAATATTTTTGTTCACATGTCAAGAAAAACATTATTAAGAGTAAAAAGAAATTAGGGAAAAAAGATAAAACAAGGGTCCCACAACCTTTGGAGTTGCTAAGAAAAAGTATAAGTTTGGTTAAGGGCATACCTGTAACAACTTAACAAATTCATCAGGTTCTTTAGCAAGGCGCATTCCACGTCCCCCACCACCAGCAGTTGCCTTCAAAACATAAAAGACATAATATCTCTACTTAATATTCATGGTAGACTTGGGATATAGTTGGCGTTGCATATTACATTAACAAAAAAAAATGAAAATAGCTTTCCTACAAACACTGGAGAAGCAATTTTTCTTTTTTGATGAATAATTAGAGTTTTATTAAAATACTTAGTGTAAAGACTTTACAATCATCCCTTAGAGAGGCACGAGCTGTTACCACTCATACAAGTAATGAACATATTACAACTTTGCCCTGAATAAAATAGACCTGTTCACCCCTTGTTTAGCCAAGGCATCTGACATCCCAATTGTTGATCTTCTCACCCATTGTATCCTTAAATTCATATTCCTGGTTAGTCAAATAATTTTTTTTCATTTGACTCCTGTAGCACCAAATTATAGACTCAGGATTTCTTAGCCATTCTACCACCAATTTCGAGTCCCCTTCTATCAGCACATTTGTCAAATTTAGCTCACCAACTATCTGCACCCCTTGAATTGCAGCAAGCAGTTCAGCTTTGAGGGAGTCCCCCATACCCACAGGGCCAGAAAACAGTGCTATAATTTTGCCTTCTCCATCTCTCACCACCCCCTCCAATTCCACATGGGCCTGGATTACCTTGACTACTCCCATCAAAATTCAGTTTAACAAAAGCCTTCAGTTAGTGGTGTTCAAACCACCTCCACTCTGTCCTTTCTCTTAGAGCTTTTAGCAACTACCTCCCAATTCCTCCAAATATCATCAAAGAAGAACTCCAGAGTCTTGATCCAGTGGATCACCCTAACCATCACACAAATCCTGATTTCTTCCTTGCTTGTCTCCTTCTCTGAGAAAATTCTTGCATTTCTCTCTTCCCAAATGGTCCAAATCAAGGCTGCTCTGACACATCTCCACATTATCCTCCCTCTCTTCTTAGGCCAAGAGAAACAGGAGGGATCAAGTAACATAGTAACCTCTGTAGGTAACGTCCACCTGCATCCAAATAAAGAAGAAATCCAAAGCTAAAATTCTGCAACAAAGGGGCAGGAAATCAGTAAATGACAACAACTCTCATTACTGGATTTGCATAAGAAACACCATTTTGGGGGGAGGTAGGAGTTAGGTCTTCTCTTCTGAAGCAAGTCCATAGTATTTATCTTCTCGTGAATTACTTCCCATCAGAAAGCTCTTACCATGGTTGGAATGGGTCTACATCAAAACTCTTTGACGGGAAAGGAAGAAACTAAGGAATCACAAAAGGTCTTGAACAAAGAAGCACAAGAGAACAATCCCTTAGGGTTGGGGGCCCAAATCCGCTTATTGTGTTTACCAGGTTCCAAGCAAACATAAAGGAGTTGTAGAAGGTCCGAACAAACCAAAATTCGTTATCCCTAAGACCTCTACGGAAACCAAAGTCCCAACTGAGCTCGACAAGATTTGAAGGGGAAACAACAAAACTTGACACAAACTCATTTTTGTACAAAGAAACCGAGTATGAAGTGGGGAAAAGTTCCATTAACGGACAAGAACCAAAGTCCCAACCCAAGTTGATTCCTGCTGTGCAACTCTTATCCAGATTGACTTTCAGATTAGAGATGAGCTCAAAACTCTTCACCAGCTTCTCCAAATTCCTTACCAAACTTTGCTCTCCACCCTCATAGAAGATTATGATATCATCAGCAAACTGCAAGTGAGTAATTGGAACCCTATTTCTTCCAACCTTCGACCCTTATATTAAAGTCTCCCTATCAGCCTTTAAGATCATTCTACTAAACACTGGAGAAGAAAATTAGAACCCATGACTTTTTTTTTGATGAATTATATAATATTGACAATGTTACCAAAGACTTTTGGCCCATGCAGGTCTCGAACCTGCGACCAATATCATAAGAAGATTAATGTTTTAGAAAAAAAAATACCAAACAAGCAGGATCCAAGGTGATTTAATATCCTCCAACTCCTGTATTAAGAAAATGAGCTTGAGATTCTATTGTTAAGTACTAAGAAATTGAGCTTGAGCTTCACAATTGTGAGATATTCATTAAAAGAGGTCTTGACATGTAAAACTTTATGAAGAGAAGTACATTTTGCCAAGAAGTTTCATATATAACTAGCATGCCCTAGAAAATTTGAAGATTATTGCCAAAAAGTACCTTCAAGGATGAGGTGTTTATTTCCAATGGGCTGAATGACTCCAGGCTTGGATTAGGTAGCACAGGAATATTGAGCAAGTTGGATATGGAGATGTAACTGGCACTTCAATGATTATATACTGGCAGAACAAATTTTAGCAGGAAATGGAAATTTTGGATGAGGATTTGTGTATCTACAACATCTTTCTCTATTCTACTAAATGGCGTTTCCACTGGATTCTCTAAGAGTCAAAGGGGATAGAGGCAGGGGGACCCCCCTTGTACCTGACATTATTTATTTGTATGATAGAAGTCTCATACACATTGACCCTTAAAACACTGGAGAGGTTTCATGGAAGGTTTTTTCCACCAGAGAGGGTACTGAAAAAGTTATTTTGCTTCAATTTGCAAATGACACAGTGTTCTTGAATGCTGATCAGAATCAGGTGTTGCATCTTTAGGACTGTTGCAGTGGTTTAAAGTTGTATCAGATCTTAGCATCAATCGTAAGAAGAGTTCTATAATTCCTGCAGGAAGGCTGGACACCATACTGAAACTTGCAGCCATTTTGTAGTGTAAGGTGTCTTACGTCTTACCTCCCGGATAATTACCTTGGTTTGCCTCCTGGTACCAAATACAACCCAAGGCAATCTGGAATCCTTTATTGAATGGCTAGAGAGGAAGTGGCTACTAGGAAGTCCAAGCATCTTTTAAATGAAACTTTCCCTTAAAGTTTTTGTCAAACTGAACCTTGATGGAAGTAGTCAGGGCAATCCAAGACCTTCTGGAGTAAGGGGAGTCTTGATAAATAAGGACATGTCATAGCCTTACTCTGAGGCCCAATATGAGTGGGAGACTTTATTAGAGCTAAGTGGCTTGCAGTTCTACATGGGGGAGACGAATAGAAGAAATGTTTTACAACAGAACAACCCATGGAGGTTGTACTATAGAAATATGGTATTGTTTATTCTTTGAAATAAGGAGTTTTGGGGAGTAAACTAGAGTCATTATTATATTTTGTTTCTTGTACATAAATTGTAGATAACAACTTTTACTGTTTATAGGCACCTATTGTTATGATTAATCATGTAGCACCTTGTTATACAGGGGCAATTGTTCCATTTCTTCTTGGCCGCTGAAGTACTTAGGTCTTCCCCTAGGCACCAATCCAAGGGAGAGCAGGATTTGGGATCCAGCGGTCAAGAAATTTGAAAAGAGATCAGCATTGTGGAAAAAGAATTACATTTCACTAGGGGTAAGGTTACTTTGATAGTAGCTACTTTAGCCAACCTGCCTATTTACTATCTGTCAGTGTTTAGAATTCCCTCTAGGGAAGCCAAGAAAGTACAGAAACTAATGAGGGACTTTCTGTGGGAACTAGGGGAGGAAAAAGTGCACCATCTAGTTGCTGGGAGATAGTGAGTTGGAGTGAGGAAGGTGGTTTGGGTTTAGGGAACTTGTGGGTTAGGAACTCAGCTTTGCTGGGAGAAGTAGTTGTGGAGATGGCTGTTGGAGAGARAACGGTTGTGGCATAATGTTGTGGCAAGTATTCATGGTGTTTTGGAAAATGGCTGGAATGCTGGTGTTTCTCATCAAACAACTTTGGCAACACCCTAGAAAGCAATTCATAGTATCCTTCCTCTTTTTTCTCAATTTTGCCAGGTATGATGATTGTTCTGGACCTTCTGGTGATTTTGTGCTTTTTTGGGAGGATATCTGGGTGGGTAACCAGTCTCTAAAGGATCTTTTCCCCTCTCTTTACTCCATTTCTTTGTCTAGGGAAGAGGTTGTTTCCAACTTTCTCGCTTTACCTCTTCTTCCTTTGTCCCTGACATGGGATGTTGGCTTCAGGAGAGGGTTAAGGGATGTTGAGGCTTCTTGTGTTTCCAAACTTCTGCTTCTCCCTGACAGTGTTTGTTTGGACCCTTCTAAACCTAATAGAAGGATTTGGCCATCAAACCCTAAAGGATCCTTCTCTTGTGCCTCCTTTTTCAAGTCCCTTTGCTCCCACACTGGTCATAGAGTTTTCCCAGTTAAGGAACTTAGGTTTAAGTCAGTGCCACCCAAATTTTTTTGTCGAGAAGTGTTCCATGGAAAGATTAATACTTTGGACAACCTGCAAAAGAAATAACCTTTCTTGTGTCTGTCCCCTAACCGATGCTTCTTGTGTAAAGCTAATGGGGAAACTTGTTCTCACTTCTCACTTATTATTATCTTATCCTTCGGTTGCAGCTATTTGGAATTGGATATTTGCTTTGTTTGGGTGCAGATGGAACCTGCCAACAGAAGTCTACTTTTTTATCCAGCTTTTTTTTTGTTTGGCGTTTGGCCCACAAAAGGGAGAGAGAGTTATGTGCAAGAGTATCAGAGCAACCACCTTATGGACAATTTGGGAAGAAAGGAATAGCAGAATTTTCTGTGAGAAAGAAAGAAGTTTATCAAAATTGAAGGAGTGCATTTTAACAGGGGCAATACATTGGCTGAGAACCCTCAACTCCTTCTGTTATTATCTTTGATGATCTATGGAGAAATTGGTTGGCAGTGGCTAGTAGTTCTACTGGAAGCACTAGAAGTATTGCAGCTTGGCCTCCACCTTTGGAAGGGTTTATAAAATTGAGCTTTGTTGGAAGCAATCAAGGAAACCCAAGGTGTTCAGGTGTGGATGGGGTTTTGAGAAATGAGGAACGCAATATTTTATCTCTTTTTCTCAGACCCAGTGGGACTAGGAGATTCTACTAGAGCTGAACTGCTAGCTGTTGTGCAAGGAATTTAGATCGCAAGTCAACTTGGGGTGGACAGTTTAATTGTAGAGGGAGATTCGGAAATGATGGTAGGATGGGTATTGGATCCAGATTCTGTTACTTGGAAATGCAGGGATATACTAAGGAAAGTTAAGTGGCAGACAAGAAACATGACAACCAGAATACAATGAGTGAGCAGGTCAGCCAATGCCATGGTTGATGTCTTAGCCAAACAAAGGGCTTCTGGGGACTTTCTCTTTGTAGCTGAGCTGTAATTCCTTCTCTTTGAGATTTTTGGGCTCAAGGGTGTGCCAGCATCTCGTGCCCCCTAGGGAAGAATGTAATAGTTTTAATCTTTTGTTAATATATTATTTCATTTATCAGAAAAAAAAAATGTGCACACTCATACATACTTTGCAGTGATACAAAACACTTAGTTTTTACATTGTTTTTTAGAAGCATATACTAAGACCACCAGTCTGTCTTCTATTTCTGGTCTTCAGTTTCTTGGTAGTACTCTTATTTCTAATCTTTTATTCTTGGAACAGGAGTGTTCTTCTTGCTGTTGTTTTATAACTAAACAGGGGCATTTCTATAATAGATAACTTTTAATGGATAATTATATATATAGATATAGATATAGATATATAATGACCAAGTGGGAGAGAATACTTTTCTCTCTTCTCCACTTTGGCTGGCTTTCTCTCTTACTCAGATCTGGCCATTTTTGCTCTTCGACCTTTCTTTATATGCACAAAAGAGAAACTTACAGTTTCAATGTTTCATAAACCGCAATACAAAGGTGAAATTTAGTGGAAAAAATAAAGACAGCATACCTTGATCATCACTGGAAAACCAATCTCATTTGCAAGTTTGATAGCTTCTTCTGTGCTCTGTAATAACAATAGATATTAATATCTAACACTGAATAAACACAGAAGCCCAATTTGATGTTAACTTTGTTAAATCAAGATGTTTATAGATATGATTCGTGTCAATGATAAAGCACTTTAAAAAAAAAAAAAGAAGGTAACTAGTCAATGATAAAGTGAATTAATGACAATAAAAAAAAAGAAAAAAAAATACTCCCCTTGTTTACTTTTCCAATATACAAATACCTATATATAGAGAAAAGGATATTGCAATTGCACAGACAAGGATGCTACAATTGCAAGAGAAACATTTAACTTGGTACCTGCAACAACCCATCACTTCCTGGTACTGTTGGAACACCAGCTTTCTTCATTGTGTCTCTTGCAGTAGATTTGTCACCCATAACACGAATGCTATCAGGCTGCAAGGATGTGAAGTCAACGATTTCAAATTCACCCAAAACTAGATGATAATAAATGTAAATAAGGTGAAAAGAGAGAACAATTTCCTGTGTTTATAGGAAGTTCCCTTTTTTACAAGCAACATCAAAACCATCACTGGTTGATAAAACAATTTCCTATGTGTTTACAGGATGCTCCATTATAATTGAGAATCTTGATGTCCATTAGTAGAAGGGTATATTATTGAATTATGAATAATAACAGATCCTCAACATTCAGAAATTACAAGGTAAGAGAAAGTGCCTCATCTAATTTATTTATCACTACATCCACATTAATATTTAGATTGAGACATCAAATGTTGCACCATACTGCACAATATGCATGCTGTCTTAGTGGACTTTCTTTACAGTCTGCAAGAAAGAGAAGTTATATTTCCTCTTAACATTAACCTCATTATAAATTCAAAAATATCCACTGGCACAACTTATCATTATGATGTGAATTCATTTATTTGTTCAGGGCAGTGAAAAATGATTTAAGGGTCTATAGTTTAACAACAGATGGCACTGATTAGAACAGAATGGCAGAACAGGATTCATGTAGTCAATCCCACACAGTTGGGACAAGGCTTATATGGTGGCGGTGATGATGATGATGACAACAATGATTTATTTGTTAAAGGTACTTACATTGGGACCAATGAAATTTATTCCATGATCTCTGCACATTTCAACAAAAAGTGCATTCTCAGCAAGGAAGCCATATCCAGGATGCAGCATTGTACATCCACGGGTAATAGCAGCAGATAGAATATTTGGGATCACCAGATACCTGTAAGAACATAAAGAGTGAAATTCAAAGTTAACCAATACAAGCATGTGCAGGAGGGAGGGGGGCGGCTTTTGCAAGTGAGAGGCAGAAGAAAAGAACAAGACAAGGCACCCAAACAAAGCAAGGCACAAATTTAAAAAATAAATAAATAAAGTAAATAAAAACATTAATATATAAAAATACAGAAACCTGAATTTTTAAAAGAAATTATATATTTTAAAAAGTTTATCATCTCAAATCAAAATGCATAACCAAAATACATAAAACAAATTGAAAGCCAACAAAATTTCATTGTAGCAAATAGCCAAATACTTCAAGCACTTGTCAATTTAAGCATGTGAAACTCTCAACATGTTTGTCAATCTCCTAGTTGCATTACATCAGGTAGTTAGTGTGATGTTAGATGACTTGTATTCCTAATCTTAGGAGCTTAGGGCCCTTACATTAATATTTCTTCAAGGCCCCTCAATGCAAGTCGAAAGAAGTCCATGTAGGGGGTTCAAAGACAGTGCGACCGACCTGAAATTTTTTGGCCATATATTTGGTTTTATGATTTTTGTTGCAATTCATTCCATTTTAGGGTTAAGGATCAATATCAGTTGTAATGTTCTTGATTTTTAGTGGAAATTTTGCTATCTAATACCCTATCCACAAAACTAGGGCTTCAAAAACTGAAATGGTCTTTGTTTTAACTCTTTTAAAAGTTAATTAGCCATTAACTTTTAAAGCAAACTTACAAAAGTTAATAGACCATTGCAAAAGTTGTAAAATACACAAGAATGTATAAAAATTAACAAAAAAGCAAACTTATAAAAGGTATGTGCTTGGCCAATGTGCAAAGYGCACCAGGCACCTGGCTCTTTAAACAGGGTTGCAGCTCAGTTGAAGTGAAATGCATGCCTTGAAATGTGACTAGCCTGTGTGCCTAGTCACACCTGAGGCACTCATTTTAAAACACTGTTTTGAGGAGGAAGAAGAAGAAGAAATAGAAGAGGAACTCCACACTTACGATTGGTTACTAGGTGCTTCACCTATGCAAACTGCCTCATCTGCAAGCTTCACATGAAGGGCATCTTTGTCTATGGTTGAATAAACAGCAACACATGGTATTCCCATCTCGTGAGCAGTTCGAATCACACGAACTGCAATTTCTCCTCTATTTGCCACAAGAATCTTATCATCCTGGCACGTTGCAGTCAGTGCTCCCCCACGTTTCTTAGACTTCCTGCTTACTTTAGCAGCTTGAGCTCTCTGACGAGGAAAACTGACCGCGCTTCCCACCATAAAGCTACACTGTGAGCTCCTTATACCTCTAGCTTGCCCCACAAATAATCCCTTTTATAAGAAGCTAAAAATTAGATATTGTTGGCTAAATCATACACCACCACTTTTCTTACGAAATAAGAAATCCCCATAAGTATATAAAATCAAGGTTGATAGAGCATGTCTATATATGGACAACAGAGCAACTGGTGGCAACCAGATGAATTTTCAAATATACATAAAACATGTCAAGGGTACTAGCATTTTAACATAAGGAATTTATACAAATCAGTAATTGAAGCATCAACTCTTTGGCATTAACATCTCTAAGAAGAATCCAAATGTCTTAGTCAAAATATGTATCCATTCCAATCTAATTTAAGCAGTATGTTTAATTCAGAAATGGTCACTTTGCATGCATCAATCATACAAGAATGGTTAACATTTAGTTGGGCTCAATTTTGTGGATGGTTGGTTGATTTGTTCTACAACTATAAAGCCACACAATGAATGAAATATTAGGAACAGGTTAAGGAAACTTTTTCTTGGTAAATCCTTTTTAGGAGCAATGTCCATTAAATAGAAGGGAAAAATCTAACTCAAGTCTCAAGTCCAGAACCCATTGTCCACATTAATGTTCATCAAAGCACAACTATTTCAATAGTATTAGAAAGCAAAAAAAAAAAAAAAATCTTCTTATGAAAAAAAAAAAAACGTTACTTGCAAGCAACAAAGTCCTAGAGAATATTTAAAACCAAATCTTCTTGAAGGATAAAATGGTATAAGTAGAACCATTAAAAAATAAAATAAAACAAGGAACAGTTTGAACATAATCAAAACAACAAAACAACCAAAAATAAAGATGCCAGGAGAATTAAAAAAAATAAAAAATAAATCTGTTAAGAGAAACAACATCTTCCAAAGAAAGAGAAGGGATTTTTGCTTCTCCAGAAAGAAAAAAAAAAGCATACAATAATGCTTATAAAGATATACATCACACATCAAAAATAAAACTTATAAAGATAATGCAGTGCAGATAATCAAATTGGCAATACCCCGGTCAAATCCCCACAATCCAGCAATGCTAACGTTATATACCTTTCAATGAGTCTAAGTTCAACTAATACGTATGATCAAACTAGCATGGTAGCCATATCGAAACCCTTAGGCCAATCCTATAGACTTTTCCTTATAGATAACTAAACCAGTTTATATACACACTATCAATCAAATTACAATCTTCCCATATCAAGATTCTAGAAAGATTCAACTTCTAAGTTACGTGCATAATCAAGATCAGACGCACTTCTAGTTATCCCATAAGCTTAATTACATTTTCAGCTAACTACTTGGAATGCACACGAGGATTCAATGCAAGCAGGACCCTTTTCACTTCAAAGAGACAATGAAACCACCATCCTAAGGGGAAAAAACAACTAAGCGGAAGTTGGTGACTTACAGGGGGCGAGCAGAGAGATTTGCAAACAGTCATGGCATCCATTCTCGAACTAGAAGCCTCAATCCGTGAAAATGAGAGGGAACCTATTTCAGTTTACTAGACAAGCAACTCTCACTTCATCAGAACTAACAAAATACAGATGTAGAGAAAGAAAAGTTAGATCTGAGGTCGACTATACAAATACCTTAGAATGTGAAGCAAAGAAAAAGGCTTCCGCTGAAATTTCTGAAAGAAACCAAGATGAGTTGCGAAGAGGGCACCAAGAACATGAATTTGGGTAGACGAAAGAGAGAAGCGAAGAAATTGAATAGAGGCGTCGATATATTCGAGGTGAGTTGCAGGTTGGAGGCTCCGCAGTAGATGGGACTAATTAAGGGCAAATTTCTTTAACTATCCTTATAATTAAGTTAATTTACTAATTCTATCCTTATTGTTTACATATTATCTTAAAATATCCTCAAGTTTTCTCACAATTTTCTAAAACCTCCTTTATTTATTACATTCTATCGTGCGATTCATATATTTTTCCAAAATTCCTAAAATACCCTTTTATCATCTTTTGCAATGATTTTTGGGAGGAAGTCTTCCTCCCCTGGTTCCGCTCATTTCCCCATTCCCCTCCTCTTTCTCTCTAATGTGAAATAGCTCATGATTTCTTCCCGCTCCCCTCTCTCTCTTTCTACAACTACTAGGTAGAAATACTTATACAACCATTGTCAGTGCACCTGCAACCTAGGTGATGGATGGTTTGTGGAATGGGAAGATAGGGAATGGAAAGTTGTGGTCAAATAATGGTTGGATTTTAGCCAAGATTGGCTCAATAACAGTATAAATACTTTTGCAACTATACACCTACAAACCGGGTGGTGGACCTTTCCTCTTATCAAACTTCTTACCTTTTTCTCTTGTTTTTTAACATATTTCTTTTATAAGGTATTTTAATGTTGTTAGCAAGAGATCTCTCCTTGCGGTGTTCACTTGATGCATGCTCAAGCAGTGGTGAAAACCGTTGAGAATAGGAACCCTGTCTCCCATGTATCAATTGGGTCAATTTGCCCTTTTTTTCTTTTATTTAACTTTAAAAAAAAAAAGTAAATATAGAAAGAAAAAAAAATAGACTAGAGTTCGAAGGGACAATAATAGAGGAAGCAACAAAGATTAATAGAGAGAGGAAGGCTTTGGCTTCCCAACTCATTTTGGTCACCATTGGCATGTGCTGTTGCTCTTAATATTTTAGACTTTATTGATTAACACTATTGAGACTGAAATGTTTCACTGTGGTTCTTATTGAACTTGGAGTGGTTCTGAATAAGAGACAGGGATGAAACCTAGATTAACAATCCAACAGAGAGAGAATAAGGTGAGAACATGAACGGGATAAGAAATCACCACATAAAACATCGAAGACGGAGAAGGAGGAAGAGGTGAAGACGGAAACAGAGACGAAGCATTGATTTACTTCCTAGTCTTCATGAAATTTTTGATAAGTTGGGTTATATTTTGAAAATTTGAAGAATAGTGATAGGCAAATTCGACATTTCATTTTTTCCATTAGTATTTAACCACGATGTCCATTGTCAAAAAACTTAAGGGTACTTTAAGACAATATGTAAATAATAAGGGTAGAGTTAGTCAATTAACTAACCCATAAGGGTACTTTAAAAAATTTCCTCATTAATTAATGAATTGAATAAATTATAAATTACCTGTGTACTTTGGGGTGGTGACATTTAGCCCCCTAAACTTTTATTTAGTCAAAGATCACCTGAATTTTCAAAAAAGCCCACAGGCTTAACCTTGGGCCCAAAACATTAAGCATGATTATTTTTTCAGGTCAGGATTGGGATTTGTCAAAAAAGCCCCGCTTGACCCAACTTTTTATATAATATAAAATATATAATTATTTTGTAAAATTTCTAAAACCTAACCTGACTTACCCTTTCCCCCCTCTTCATCGTATTACCTTGTTCTCACTTCTCACTCTTAGAGAGTTCAAGCTAGCAACCACCAACACTAATGAACCAATGATCTCTAGTGAGTTGGCGACGAACATAGGCTAGCAATAACAAGCAACAACCATTATTTTCCTTCTCCGGTGAACTCAGTTAGCAATTAGCCAGCGACCAGGTCCTCTCGTCAGTCATCTCTCATTGTTTTTATCATTCTCCAGTGAGGCGGCAATAGACTAGGCTAGCAGCCACATCCGGTGATTTCAAGTTGTAGCGACTAGGTCCTCTCTATCTCTCACTAACACACACACACACACACACACTCTCTCTCTCTTATAATGAATCTTTTTTTTTTTTTTTTGAGTTTTTGTTGTTCCTTTTCTCATTTGATTTTGTTGTTCCCTTCCTTTTCTCTATGTATTCTATTAGTTCATTTGATTTTGAGTTTCTACTAGTTTTGTTCTCTTAATTTGTAGATTCATTTGATTTTGAGTTTCTACTAGTTTTGTTCTCTTAATTTGTAGATTCATTTGATTTTGAATACAAAACAGGGAATTTTTTTGTATAGAAACAACCAAACAACAGGCTGAAATGATTTCTTTTCTTATAGAAACAAGCAAGAATTTTCTTTTCTCATTATTGTCAAGTCGAGCATTAGGCTTTTTATGAGGATCGGGCTCGGGCTGGAGCCTGAAAAAAGTTCTATTAATGAAGAGTCAAAGCCCGGCCCGACCCGACCCATGAACATGTCTACTCAAAAGATAAATTAGCAAGGTCCACATCAAGGGGCGGGCTAGCCCATACGATCATACAAACATATCAACAAGGAAGATTTCAGTAAGAGCTAAATAATGAGCTGCCCTATTGACATATCTAGGAATATAACAAAAAACGGCATCATCCAATACTAACTTTAAAGAGCAAATTGTGTTCAAAAAAGATTTATAGTGTAAGGCAACATTGGGCCTCTAAAAGATAGAAAATCAGTAACATTTTTAGCATAAGAAACAATCAAAACTTTATTCCAATTAACTCTACTTAGCCACTTCCAGCACTTTCATGATTGCCCAAACTTCACCCATCATATTCTTTATAACCCCTGTTGCAAACCAAAAAAAGATTTATTACTATCATAGCAAGAAAAAACAAACGAGATATCTTTGGTTCTCATAATATCCACCATCACATTTTATAATAACATCAAAATAAGTAAAATCAGGGAGAGAACTAGAAGAGATAGATTGACAAAAGCCCTCCCCGACGTTGTAAGGGGGGAAGTGGAAGAAAGCTTTTATTCCTACACCAAGAGATTTATAGAGTTGATAATAGCATGCACATGTTTGCTAATATTATTGAAAATAACATCATTTCTAATTGACCAAATGAAAAAGTAAGCTATTGCCAACCAGGATAAGAAATTTTATATGTCCACATGTTTGCTAATATGATTGAAAATAACACCATTTCTAACTGACCAAATGGAATAATAAGCTATATCCAACCAAGACAAGAAATTTTCTATGTCTTTTCCTAAACTTGCATCCCCTCCTCATAAAATTGATAGGGGAAATTCACTCACCAAATTTACAGCAACATTAAACAGCCTAACACCCCACTAGGAGGCAAATAGAACCATTTTGGAGAAGGGACATCCACACAATATGTGGAAAACATATTCTTCTTAAGACTCACACAAAGAGCAAGTGGTCTTTATGTGCACACCCAACCCAGACAATTGAACTTTTGAAACAATAAAATTCATAACCAATCGCCACAAGAAAATCTAGTATTGAGGTTGTATTTTCAACTTCCAAATCTTTCTAAAAGACTTGGTTGATTTCCTTACAAATTGGTATTGGCATCGCGCCATTGATTCCAATAAAAGTCCTTAACTATGAAGATTCATTTAGGGAACCTTAACCAAATGAATTTATCCTCATTCACATTATTGAAAGCATGGGTGTTCCTTATTTTCTAATAGGTATTTGCATCAAACAATTAACACAATTTATCCAGATTCCAAGTTTTGGATGGGTTTAACCAATCTTGGATTGTTAAATGTTGGTCACACCTAGCTAGAGGCCTAACTAGGGCTTGAAACTTGTCATCATCCCAAACCCAAGGAAAGCTTCAGAAATTAATACCAGAATTCTTACAAACTTGAATCCCTAAGTCTAAGGATAAAGTCTAGAGCAATTTGTATAGCAATTTCCAAATAACTAATCCGGAATCAGGACACGTTGGGGGGATTATTTCATTGTTGGTATGAAGGGAAGGGAGATCCATCATATGGATGGCCGAACCATGCAGGGTGGCTGGGCAAAATTTCAAAAATTTTCTTTTTCCCCTTCAAGGAATCATATTCTTTGATTTGGAAAAACTGCATTTTTCAAGGTTCGTTCTTGAAACAAATCGAGCCAAATTTAAAACTAAGATTAATTGAGGGATATACTTAATACGAAATCAACAGTAATTCCTAACATAGGTGTTCGCGCCCAAAGATTTCACCAAATCCGTCATCCGCTGAAGATGACACAGCTTAGGGTGAGGCAGGATCAACAAATAGGTTCTTTAAAAAGAACCCCAATTATTCAGCAAGAATCACGTTATGGGTGTGAGAACGACTTCAAGATTGTTTCTTCTAGCAAGAAACAATATCAAAAATCAATGTTGATCATTTCCAAGAACTGGAAATTGAACAAGGTAGGGGTGGCAAGAGCAGAGGGAGTAAAACTACAGAAGAAGAATTCACCTACTGAAGAATTCACCCCCTTATTTATAGCCCTTTTAGGATCAGCTTCCTAATCCAATTAGGAAGGAGTTTCTTGATCGATCCAAATTTGTATTTGGATCCGGACTCTTAAGTGGATAATACTTATCTTATCCTATTGCTAATTCTAATTAGATTACAAACTAGATTCACCCCTTTTTAATTAATTTAATTAAACCTAGTTCGAAATGGGCTTCAAGCTCGTTAAGTCTCCTAGCTCGCTTCCCTTTTAATTGTTGTCTAGTTTGGCTCTCTTTGTATGGCGTGGGACCCTAACATTGATCTCCACAAAAGTCATATGGGTTCAGCCTAGCCTCTGTTACAAAGCCTGGTTGAATTCACTGCTGAAGATAGTGAATCTCTGAGCCCATCAGTGTGGGCTCTTAACAGGCCCAACATTTACACTAAATTGTCTCTAGGTCCAGTCACCTTATAAAGGCCCAATGATTATGGACTTAAGTGAGATTAGCCCATCAGGTAAAAGCCCTAAATAGTCTTACACTTAACCTCTCAGCCCATAATGATCAAACACTGCCCGATAAGAGATGACCTCAGTTGCAAAATACAGTGTTGCACTCTCTGCTCACATGGATCTCGAGAATTAAAACATTTTTGCAAACATTTTGTGAAACCATAATATATATGTATATCTCTATATAAATA